AGTTGTGGGGATGGGGAATAGGGTGGGGAAAGTTGAGATGGAGTTTTGGAAAATATTTTCCTTCATATCAAACACACCCTTAGTGGAAGAGAAAGAAGAATTTACACTATTCATTGACCTAAAGAAAGGAGCGAAATTTAAATTTAATATAATCCTCATAAATGGTACCTATAAAGAGAACACTAATAGGAGACACATAGAAATTTTCTATAACTTTGAATTTGCGCCAAGGATCAATATTGAGTCCATATATACATGTTTACTAAAAGTTTAGATTTTCCCCTGGAAAATCAATAACTGAACAAATGCCAAACAACCAGATTAGGCTTGAGGAGGTAGAATATATATTCCCAGATTAATTTGAAAAAGTAAATGTCTCCGTTATTCTCCCAATGTTCATTTCTAGTTGAATATAATTTAAAATTAAATGGAACAAATGCCGGAATTTCATAAGCAATGGTGGCTGGAATCTAGTGAACAAAAGTACGAAAGTATCTCTCTCTGTATTTTAATTTTTGCCCAACATATCTTTCTTATTGCACCTAAAATTTAGATTCAGATTCCCAACTTCCATTCGAATTACAATCAAATTAAAATGGTATATTTGCTTATGTCAGTTGTGTTAAAATTCATATTATATTCACATTCTCTCTGACAAGTTATTGGGAGGATATCTCACCTATCTAGCTAGAATATATTATTAACCATTGTTATTAATTCTTACTTATTTTAATTAGCAACGAATATCGTGAATTTTCTATATATGTGTGGGTACACTTCTAGATGTTAATTTTGATCTCCAAATGTGTAAATCTCCCAAACCCATCCAGATTAAGAGTAGACTCTTTCGATTTGTCGTAATCAAATTAATTCTTAAAATGAAATCTGATTCTAATTCTAAAGAATTGTTTTTGATTAGTTTGAGCTCACAGAATCATATCATATTTCTCACACACTTTTCATAGAATCTAATCCCAAAATAAATATAAAGAGATCGAGAAGAGAGAAAACAAAAGGAGCTAAACAAAAATTGGCTTATCCATTTAGCTGCACATGATGTTATGCATATTAATAAAATATTATATTTCTCATTTCATTGTATTTTCTTTCCTAAACCTGAAAACAGAATATTTTATGAGACGTCACTCGGAAAAGGAATATATAGAAAATCCACATTGTTTCGCCAAAGAAATAAATTTTTGGATAATATTAGAATTTGAGATGAAAAATCGGGTTACTGATAATCAAAAGACCAAAATAATAATAGGCTTTCTGAGAATAATAATAAAGCAGTAAGCAAAAGTTCTTATTTCAGTATGAGGTAAGTCATGTCCTTTTTCCAATACAATTTCCTCCTTTTATAGTTGATTCTAGGTAAAGGAAATAAATCTAAGCTTTAATGAGACAATTATGGATAATAAATGACATTAAATGAGCCGTTACACAATCATTCCTATTAAATACCAATTTTCTAACGTATCAGGTATTTAATACTGAATTTGGACTCCTTTTTGTCTTCAGATTCATGTCTTCAATGCCTTTCGACCCGTTGGCTTTAAATGACTTCGAATTGGTACGAGACTCGTGTCTAAACTGCTTCTCGTGCCTATTTCCTTTCTTCTTCCCGTACCTGTCATTTCCCGTACCTTTTTCCCAACTGTTATGCTTTGACCACTTGTCCAATCCACGTGTTATGCCACGTCATCTTCAATATAAATTCAACTTTTTTCCCAATACAGATAGTCCCCCCACTTTCCATTTATTTATCAATTAAATAATTGGAAAGTGGACCTTCGTAAAAAAGGAATTTTTGCCATAATCAATGCGTATGACAATATTGTCGTCTCAATTGTCTTTTCCATTTAATGTTTTGCCCATGTGTCACCTTCTGATTGATTCTGCTATTTTACACCCTTTTTCAAAGCTTCGTTAATCCCACTTTTCATGAAGTGATAGTTGCCTTTATTATAGGCTTTCCATCATTACTCTTCTAAGTTTGACGGTTGCCATCATATACATACTTAACCTTTTCTTCCTTTGTCCTCTTCTCCATAAATCTTTAGCAAACGTTTTCCTTCTTTACTTTTGCTCTCCTTCGATTCATCTTTGCTCAACAATGGCGTCTCCAAACCCTAACCCTAAAAGAGTTCCAATTTTAGACAAATTCCCCAATGCTCCTGTTAGACATAGAAGAGACAGAGGAGGCAGACTTCGTACAGGGTTAGAATCTACTCGAGGCGGTTCTTCTGGCTCTTCTTCTAGGAGTTCTATTCTGAAAACTCCTTCTTCTAAAGGTAAAGAAATTTCTGATTCTTCTAGGGAACCTTTAGTTGATGAAATCGTACCAAATGATTTATCTTTTGTAAGTGATAGACAATCTCTTCAAAAGCAAGTTGCTAGTTTAGAAAAAACTGATACTTATCCTACATTAGTGACCGAACTTACAATCCCTACCATCAGAGGAGACTGTAACTGGAAAAATAGTCTTCGAATGTCAATTCCTTCCATAAATCAAAGAATTTCTTCTTTTAGGATCGGGTACTCTTTTGTTTATACTTACCCTTTTACTTTGGGTTTTGATCCCCCAATTGACCCCGTCATCCTCGATTTTTGTCGTTTCTTTAATATTTGTTTGGCCCAAGTTGGCCCTTTAGTATGGAGAGCAGTGGCTTGTTTGAGATATCTTTCTACCAAAGCCACTGTTGATTTCACCTTTTCTCACCTTATCCATTTATACCATCCTAATTTAATACGTCATGGAGTGTTTACCTTAACCGCGAGAAGCAAGAAGGTTTTGGTGAGCACAGAAGATGACAATGATCGTGGATGGTACGCCCGTTACGTTGCTGTGCGTACGGTGGATTTACTTGGTGAAACAAATATTCCCTTCCCTGAGAAGTGGAATTTTGCACGTAAGTTTTTTTTTTTAAA